GTTTTCATGTTTTTATGAACACGCCTGAAGTCGCAACACGTGTTTCACTATACAATAGCTTCCTCAGGCTTTTCCATGTTTTTATGAACACGCGTGAAATCCCAACATGTATTTCACTATACATTAGCTTTCTCAAGTGTGTTGATATTTCTATGAACACACTCGAAACGCCTAAAACCTCAAGTGTGTTCAAATTTTTATAAACACGCCCAAAACAGCACACGTGTTTCAATATACAATAGCTTCATCAGACGTTTCTTTCCATGAACACGCCTGAAACAGCAATGCGTACTCCACTATACATTCAGTATCTCAGGTGTGTTCATACTTTCATGAACACGACTGAAAACGCAATACGTGTTTCACTTTGCGATAGTTTCCTCAGGCATTTTCATGAGCATGCCCGAAATCGCAACACGTGTTTCACTATACATTAGCTTCCTCGAGCGTTTTCATGAACACGCCCGAAACCTCAACACGTGTTTCACTATACAATTGCTTCCTAAGGCGTTTCTTTTCGTGTACAGGCCCAAAACCACAGCACATGTTTCACTATACTTCATCTACCTCTACCTCAGGTGTGTTGATATTTCTATAAACACACCCGAAACAACTGAAACCTCAGCTGTGTTCAAATTTTAATGAAGATGCCAGAAACCGCAACACATGTTTTACTATACAATAGCTTCCTCGGGCGTTTTCGCGTTTTCATAAACACGCCCAAAACAGCACACGTGTTGCAATATACAATATCTTCATCAGGCATTTCTTTTCATGAACACGCCTGAAACAGCAATGCGTACTCCACTATACAGTCACTATCTCAGGTGTGTTCATACTTTTATGAATACGACTTTAAACGCAATACGTGTTTCTTCGGGCGTTTTCATGGACACGCTCGAAATCGCAATACGTGTTTCACTGTACAATAGCTTCCTCGAGCGTTTTCATGAACACGCCCGAAACCACAACACGTGTTTCACTATACAATTGCTTCCATAGGCGCCTGAAACAGCAATACGTACTCCACTATACATCAACTACCTCAGGTGTGTTCATATTTTCTTAATACGACTGAATACGCAATACGTGTTTCACTTCACGATAGTTTCCTAAGGCGTTTTCATAAACACGCCCGAAACCGCAACACGTGTTCCACTATACAATTGCTTCCCCAGGCGTTTTCGTGTTTTTATGAACACGCCTGAAACGGCAACACGTGTTTCAATATACAATAGCTTCCTCAGGCGTTTTCTTGTTTTCACAAACACGGCTGGAATAGCAATACGTGTTTCACTATACAATAGCTTTCTCAGGCGTTTTCTTTTTTCATGGTCACACCTGAAACGGCAACACGTGTTTCACTATACATCAACTACATCAAGTGAATTCGTATTTTTATTAACACGCCTGAAACCGCAACACGTGTTCCACTATAAATTAGCTTCCTCAGATGTGTTCATAATTTCATGAACACACCTGAAACCACAAAACGTGTTTCACTATATAATTGCTTCCTTGGGCGTTTACATGTTTTCATGACCACTCCCGAAACGTGTTTCACTATACATCAGCTTTCTCGGGTTCGTATTTTCATGGACACGCCTGATACTGCAACACGTGTTTCACTATAATATAGCTTCCCCAGGCGTTTTTATGTTTTCATGAACATCAATAAACACCCCTGAGAAAGATATTGTACATATAATGAAATACACATACATGTATGAATATGTCTGAGGAAGCTATTCTATAGAAAAACATGCTTACATGTATGAAAACCTGCCTAGAAACCTATGCGACTGTATTTCAAGCGGAAATTTACGCTATTGAATTGTGTGCGGAGGTCAATAAAAAAAATCTCGGAGACTCAAGCAGCGTTGGAAGTTCTGGCTCCGACCGAGCAACGTCTGAATTGATAGCAAATTGTTCTCTTTGATAGGAATACTCAACAGATTGTCTCTGGTCCGGATTCCTGGCCATACCGGCCTGGAATGTAATGATGCTGCTGATTCCCTTTCAAAGGAGGGTGCTGCAAGCAGCTTCATCGGACCAGAACATGTCATTGGCATCGCAAACAAAGATTGAACACCTGGAGGGCAGGAAGATTTATGGACTTCTGGCAGAATCTTCCAGGATTGGCCCATTGGCGTTTATTCACCCTTAGAAGCTTAATACCAAACAGTTGTTGGACTACAGTAGAGATGAACTACGATGTCTAACAAGTCTTACAGGTCACTGTCATTTGAATCATCATATGCAGAGTTCGGACTGCCGGAAGAGAGTGTGTGTCGCCTCTGTTTGGAAAATGATGAGCAGAGCAGATACTTTGTTCCTGCCTTGCTGGGGACCGAATCAGGATTTTAGAGTTCGGCAGATCCGTACTCTCACCATCTGACCTGAAAGACCACTCACCATACAAACTAATTGGCTTCGTTAGGAAGCTGGGTTTATTTGGTCAAGTGTGAATTGGTATGAGCCCCAATAAACCCTTGTTAGTTGCGGTGTAGGTTCGAGTAGACCCTACAGTTCACTCTGGACCTAACCTAACTTACATGTATGTAAGTTTGTTTATGATGACTTGCGATTGTCGTCATTATTTCTTGATATACACTGTATCAAATAAAAAAGTAGGTAGTGTTGAGGAAGTGAATCATAAAGTAGGTATCACTTATTGCTATACTCAAATTATTGTCCTTTAAAAATCAAAATCGCCAGGTCTCCTACTCGTTAAGTAGCATTTGGAATTTCTGTCGTGAGGGAAGTATGCTTTCAATAGAGGTATTTCACTACGAGTACCTACTGGGGTCATTGCTTTGTCTTCTGTCATTCACCCTGGAATACCAAAATATATTCAGAATTTACATTTCCCACATCTGAATACGAAAGTTCACCCTCCTCAACAAGGATGGCGTAACATTTGCTCTTCAACAGGTGAACCAATGAATTCCTGATGAAAATGATAATGAGATATATTTAGACGCGAGTGTAGATTGCGGCATTCATGAAATCCCATTAAAATTGAACGCTCAAGATATAACCGAATATTCAAGACTGACTGAACTGCGACGGGAAGTTAACCACATCAGAACTCGATGATAATTATAATTTTGATTAGTTGCTTGTTGGGGGCGCTCATTCGCACCAAGTCGAGGTCATTTCGTTACTCTCACTCCTTGACGATGTGGCAGGTTTTCGATGGGGTGTCGAAGGAATGAGAATTTAATGTACCAAATATTTATTCTCTGACAATAGACAAGAATGTACTGTATTCCAACTTGAACAGGGTGGATCAATGAAACGAAAGAAGGCGACAGGGTCTAGTCAGGCGAATTTTGAAACAGATCAATATCAACAAGGCGTCTGGCCGTGATGAAGAACCCGTCATCGTACTTGAAAAGTGCGCAAATGAACTCTCACCAGTATTTTGCAGACTTTTCAACCTGTCTTACAAGAAAGGGGTTTTTTCTTCTTGTTGGAAGAATGCTCGCATTCAGCCTATTTCCAAAAAAGGTAACAACAATCTTACAAATAATAACTAGTCGCTTTGCTATCAGTTATATCAAAAATCATGGAGAAAATCGTAAACCACCATATCCTCATATATTTGGAAGGCTTCAACATCTTGAGCGATCATCAACATTGCTTAGGAAAATAAAGATCAGCAGGAGACTTTCTATCGTATGTCACCCATATTTGGAATAACGCAATCGAGAAACAAGGAGAGTCAAAAGCTGTTGCGCTTGATATTTCCAAGGCCTTTGACCATGTGTGGCTTGAGGGTTTGCTGGCCAAATTTCGATGCTATTACCTGTTGGATCATTTCTGTGTATGGCTCGCCAGCTTCCTAAAAGAACGTTTCCTGCAAGTGGCCGTCGATGGATATCTCTCGAAAACTTTTACCATCAACGCTGGTGTTCCCCGGGGATCCATATTGTTTCCAACCCTCTTTTTATTGTATATCAACGACGACGACAGCACACTTGCTCGTCATTCCATTTGGATTTCAGAACATCGGCTACGGAAGCACATTTCAACCGGTGGCAGGAGGTTGCATACCTTGATGAGGATTGGGCTGAGAGTAAACAGGTTCAATTCAATGCTACAAAAACCCAGGCATCGGTTTTCTCCACGAAGATAAATGTCTGCGTCAGACAATTCTGCTTTCTGCTCCGATAAGTTTGTTGGGGGTTGAAAAGGACACCAATTTGTCTTGGCACTTGGCACAATCATGTTGCTGGAATTGCGAAGGCTGCCTCTCAATAGCTTGGAACAAACATACCCTGAATTCCATCCAGAAGAGGGCCATCTGCCTGAATGGAGACGCGAACGTGCAACCTTGATAGCTCTGATTAGTCTGCCAAAGTTTTCAACGTGAATTTACATTCAAAAGTCTTGGAATAATACAGCATTGAATTCGAAATACAATCGATTCGTGATGAATTAAGGAAATTGAGTTTCATCAACAGTTTAGGAAAATAGGATCGTGAACCATTTTTGGCAGGAATTCGAAAACAAAAAGCCAAACCTAACTCACATTACCTGACTCAAAATAATGGGGACAAGTTGCAAAGCAAGCTTTGCTTCGACCGCCGACCAAATTCGTTTTCTGTCTTTCACTGTAGCTTTCACTGAAACACAACTTGCCGAAAATCAATCCCCAAAAACAATGCATTCAAAGTTGAACACCAAACAGCTCCTTTTTTTCAGTTTGAATAAAAAATACATGTACAAAAGTATAAATATATTTGCGTTTTACTTCGTTCAGGATAAGGGGGCTTTACTGTGGAATTTCTACTAAAAATTGACCCAGTCAAACTCAAATATCTCATCTCAAAAGACCCCAAAGGTTTTGTCCGTTTTTATGAGTTCACTTCAAACCGTAATATCTCAGTGAATACTAATACAATTGAATCAAAATAAGCGTCATTTGAGTCCGTACACTTTTGCCAACGTAACACAAGTCGATTATTTCCGTCAGCATGAGAATTGGGTGCTATATGGATCTTGTTATCTTGAGGTTTTTCGAGGTTGTAGAAGCAAGTGAAACAGATGTAGATCCGGTCGACTTGGCCAATTTATTTGAGTGGTCAAAAATGTGTTTCAGATATGATATCAACGAGAGTACCTGAGTTTGACAGAACCAAAACCATATAGATTGTTAACATCCAGAAATAGATTTTGGTGATAAAGTTACATTCCCTGTACCAACTAAGTCAAACCTACCTATATAAATGCAGGCTCACGATAGGAAATATAAGTTATCTTATATTTCTGGATTACTCTCAAATACATTCAAAATAACTTTAGCTGTTTCGAAATGTAGTAATTGGAAACGTGTCAATGGCAACGACTTGTTTTCCAACGCAAACATGAGTTTTATTTTCCATAAAATAAACAATATTACAAAGAAAGATTATATAGTGTTTTTATATTCTTCCAGTGGAATGCTCCGGATCCACGTCAAACGTATTTCCTTTCCCAATACTAGCCTTTTGGTTATGTAGCCAACAACACCACATGGACTGAAAGCAAATTGCTTTAGTGGTGGTACAAAATAAAATATTGAATGCAGAACAACACAATGGCGCTCCAACCAACAAAAGAAGGACATTTGCACCACAACAAATGATTCCCTTAAATGAGAATGACGACCAAAGAAAGGAGAATGGTTTCGTTACAGACCCTATATTCCAATTTCTTTTTCAGATATTTCCATATATCTTCAATCTCGAACAGATAATAGATTACTTGTTAATTTCAATAATAATATACTTCATTGTAGTTTGTGAATATGAANTGTTCTGTTCTGTTCTGTTCTGTTCTGTTCTGTTCTGTTCTGTTCTGTTCTGTTCTGTTCTGTTCTGTTCTGTTCTGTTCTGTTCTGTTCTGTTCTGTTCTGTTCTGTTCTGTTCTGTTCTGTTCTGTTCTGTTCTGTTCTGTTCTGTTCTGTTCTGTTCTGTTCTGTTCTGTTCTGTTCTGTTCTGTTCTGTTCTGTTCTGTTCTGTTCTGTTCTGTTCTGTTCTGTTCTGTTCTGTTCTGTTCTGTTCTGTTCTGTTCTGTTCTGTTCTGTTCTGTTCTGTTCTGTTCTGTTCTGTTCTGTTCTGTTCTGTTCTGTTCTGTTCTGTTCTGTTCTGTTCTGTTCTGTTCTGTTCTGTTCTGTTCTGTTCTGTTCTGTTCTGTTCTGTTCTGTTCTGTTCTGTTCTGTTCTGTTCTGTTCTGTTCTGTTCTGTTCTGTTCTGTTCTGTTCTGTTCTGTTCTGTTCTGTTCTGTTCTGTTCTGTTCTGTTCTGTTCTGTTCTGTTCTGTTCTGTTCTGTTCTGTTCTGTTCTGTTCTGTTCTGTTCTGTTCTGTTCTGTTCTGTTCTGTTCTGTTCTGTTCTGTTCTGTTCTGTTCTGTTCTGTTCTGTTCTGTTCTGTTCTGTTCTATTCTGTTTTGTTTTGTTTTACTCTATCTTGGATTTGGATAGACTATAGTATGCTTCAAATGAGCTCATAATGAATTTATGTGATAGTTTATGAATTCATTGTATCTTCATATATAACAGAGTTGCAAATTAGTTTATACCTCTGCAAATCCGGATTAATTATCCAGTTTGTAGCAAATGACATCAACGATAACGAAACGTCGATATTCCTAAATAATCAAACATAAACAAACAAATCAAAATGAAACATTCAGTTCATTTAGAGAACACCGGCATCGACACGAATGGCTATTTGTGCAAACATAATTCGAAATAATATTCCCAATCAGAGAAAATTATAACATCGAATATTATTTTCGTCTATGGCGTCCAGGTGTAATTTATTTCAATTTCGATACAAAAGTGAGATAATAAAAACCGTTTATATACCTTCCAAAGTTCATTCGAAACTTTTTCTAAGAATTATGGATTATAAAGAAACGAGCGGATGAAAAGAAATCCGAGCACGAAGTAAATGAAAAAAACCGGAACTTGCTAAAAACTTATACCATCCAGAACTTCATTTAGGTTGCTAAACAAAAGAGTTGCAACGAAGGAAATGAGTTTGAAAATTTTGAAAGAGCACTTTCTGGTTGAACATTTCCTACTTTCAAAAGTATTATCAATTAATAAATATTTTGTTGATGATAAAAAATTACTAAATTTTGCCCAAGAAGAAACTTGGATCGAAGTGTACGATGCCGAAAATATCGAAAAAGCAACAAATATATTCGTACATAAAATCGAAAATATGATAGGTAGAAGTACGAATAAAGTGAGTAGAGATGAAGAGGTGTTTTTTTTTTCGATATCCTCCATGATAAGTACCGACAACAGAATCTAAAAAACCCTTATCAGTTTGGACCACAAAATTGAAAACATGACGGATGGAGATAAATTCAGGAAATTACCGATGTTTATGGCTTTTTCGACGGCCGGATGATATATGTGTACGTTGGAACCATAAATTAATAAATGCTCACTCTGTGCACTTTTTGCTGATGTTAGGAAATGGAAGGAAATTGTGTCGTCAAAATATATATGTTTATTACCCGTTTAGCAGAAGTTCGTTCCTGGATGCTGTAAACTTTCAGGAATGTGTTCGTAGGAAATTTATAGATGCAGTTTCGAATCCGCCGTGCTGACTTACATAAACTGGTTTTGAAGGTGGTAATAATATTTTCGTCGCGACCTACAAAACAACAGATTTTCCAAATAGTGAAAGACCAAATTAGATGACCATATCATCATTTCCATTCAACAATATACAAGTAATTTATTTTAGTTCTCATTAGGTTCTGTTACCAGAGTTTTAGCGTGGCCCCAATGTCCTATATGAAAATATCTACACAAAATATAGTCGCAAAACTGAAACTCCATGCTCCGATTGCTATAGAACATATGTAGGTCAGTCCAACAGACGTGTGACAAGTAGAGTACACGAACATCAACTTGCTGTCCGAAAGTCAGACCCATCCTCAGCCTCATCAAAACATCATCAAGAGACAGGACACAACATAGACTTTGCGAACACTAAGACCATCAACACAGCCAAAACACTCGGATAATTCGGATAATTCGCGTGGCCATCGAAATCAAAAAGCGACCTTTCTGCCTGAACATACGTGATGACGGTCAAAGACTTCAAACTGCCTGGAAACCACTAATTTTCCGATGCTCACCCCCCACCAAGACGTCCGGTGATGGTCATCACCCGAAACCCCGCCTCCACCTTTCCGCTTCAGTAACTTCCTTCGATATAAATACCACCGAACACCCATCGACACCTCAGTTCAATCTAAGGAGTAGGCAGATTGAGACCTTAGAGAGAATTCGCGACGAGATCTGGGGAGTAGGCAGATTGAGACCCCAGCGTCAAGTCACATTCAATTCTTGAAAATAGCTCCAAAACGGGAGCGGAAACGTCGAATACGAAACTTCAGATACAACCACCAACACTGACATAAAAACTTGGCAAGTTGACTTGGGTGTCACACCAATAGGTGGTTCCACTTATGTTTCGCTTGCGTTTACGTAGCTATTTTTATCAAGTACTTTCTTGGTTTTTGTCATTTTGTCTTCAATCGAGGACCGCCTGCCCGGTACTGACGATGCCCAATAGGCTGAAACAGCTGTCTACCGGTGGCTCTTAAATTGTTTTACCGTAAATATTGGGTGTTCCATCGCGAGTGGCGGACAGTGTATATCACTTTGGCCAACCCCATTCAGGTGGTAGGTGCATTTTGAGTATTTCCATCAGTCCAGAGAGTTTCATCGTTTTACCTCGAATATTACGGAAGATACGTGAGACACGAGAAGTGAGACACACGCCGAACGCCGAACATTTTCGAACAAAGTAACGTCAATATCTCTACAAATAGTTATTATTCTCTGCCGTATATGATAATGGTTCAGTTTCGTAGACCTTTTGCTTCAAATAGCCCCATAAAAAAGTCCAAAAGTGTCAAATCTAGCGAGCGAGCTGGCCATTCTGTACGACCTCGACGGCCAATCCAACGACCGGGAAAAGTGGTATCCAAATAGTTTCTTACTTGTCTGGAGTAATGTGGTGGTGCTCCATCTTGTTGGAATACAATATTCATATCGAATTCATTAGGATTCGCTTCGACGATTTCAGTGATGAGAGGGTCCACAGTAGTTTCCAAAATATTCAAATAGAGTTCCCCTGTTGAATTTTGATCAATATATAGTGATGGTGACTGATTTTTATTAGTCATAGATCTATTTCAATTGATTATCTTCAAAAAACCATCACAGGAGCGTAATTCACATCATTACTTTGCTGGAGACAGAACTTGAGGAAAAACGTCCACATTCGCAGAAAAAAAATCTTATTCCACCAAGATAACCGTCTCCTGGTGCGTTTGTACTCATAATAGGACTAGCTGTTGGAGGACAGACTGCTCTTGTACCTGATTGGTCTGACCGCTGCCCTTCTTCAATTAGTGGGAGAATCTTTGTGTTATCAAGTGCCGATAACCATGTCTTGGTGATGTTTAAGCTCTTCTCCTTACAGTGTATGTATTTCTATCGCCTCTCTAAATAGCCGTTGATAGTACCATCTGGTTTCACCAATAGTGTGCATTTGAAAGCAATGTCATAGCTTCCCTCTAAGACAGCGTGTTCTGCAGCTACCGATTTTTCCGTTTGGCCATAGCGGCAATTTCTTTTATGCTGTAGAACGAATCAAAACTTCATGGTAGTTTTTATACTCCTGGGGTACTAAATGAATCCCTGGAGTCTTTTGCTGACCTGGGGCTATTCTCTATGGTTGTGATGTGCTTGAAACTGGCTCCAACCTCATGTTTCTCGAGGATACTTCAAAGTCGTTCCTTAGCACTGCTTATGTAGAAAAGTTCTTCCGTTAGTCATTCGCTCCAGTGTCATCGTGGAGTGTTTCTGTATTGGTCGTGAAGCTCGGTTGCTTTCGGCCTCGTTATATCCGTTATCCAGAAACGCATTCACCAAATGACATATTTTTTCGTGTAGCCCTTGTGGTGCTCTACCAGGGTCTCTCTTTTCTGTCTGTCATATATCGGTCCGTGTGGATTGGTTCCTATATATTTCAGGATCCAGTCTGCCGAACTCTGTCTTTTCACGAGTTCATCCAGAGAATCGATTATACCTTTCTCTTCTTTCTCCATTGTGAACTGGAATTCTGGGTTTCGAAGATTCCAATATTCCATAAATTTTGACAATTCCTCTTTCCCGTGACTCTAAACCACGAAGGAACATCAACATATTGTAGCCAGCAGGACGGTTGGACCCTCATTCAAATTGTTCTATAGATTCAGTGAACTACCCTTCGCAACCCTTTCTTTTTGCTTATAGAATTTTTTACTCAACAAGTATGTTGATGTTAAGCAAAGTTCTAATAAGGTGCTAATGTTTAGAGGAAGAACCCGCTGGGTTCTGGGTTCCGATATTGACGTTATATTAAAAGTAAACCAAGAACTGGAAGAAAGGGTGGAAAAATGGTTCTCACGAAACAAGTTGAAGCTAAATAGGGATGAAACCCAAAATATTATCATATCATCAAATAATTGCTTAACAAATAACAATCATGTTAAACTTCTTGGCATAACTGTCGATGATTCAGTCAAATGGGAAAATCGCATTGAAATGTTGTGTAAAAAACTATCCAGCCAACTTAATCTACTTCGTAGGCTGAAGAAAGTTCTGAGCACCCAAACACTAATAACCTGCTATCATTCACTATTCCACACTCACCTAACATATGGTGTACTCCTATTGGGTAGGTCTTCCTATGCTCTCAAAGCATTCCGTATGCAAAAAAAAGCTCTCAGGATTATAGCAGGTGTCCCACTCAATGAACATTGCCAACCACTTTTTATAAAATTCAAAATCATGCCATTGCCTTGTATTTTCATCTACCACACACTGCTTCAGATTCACAAGGATAAAAATAAATATTTTTCCCATTCAGACTACCACAATTGCACTACCAGAAACGCACAAAAACTGATACAACCCCCGGTCAAGCTAAAAATGTCAGTGCGTAATTCGCTGGATAACAAACTCTACAATGCTTTGCCTTCTGATCTAGTATTGTTGTGCATGAATGTATACAAGAGGAGGGTGAAAAAATATCTTTTGAAAAACTGTTTTTATAATTTGAAAGATTATATAAACTGTACATATACGGAATGATTTTAATAGTTTCATGATTTAGAGTTGCTGAACCATCATATGTAAATTTTACTGTCTTTTTCATTTATACACAACTTTGTACATTGTACCATTGTTTCCTGACTTGTCATGAATGTAATTTACATATAACATGATCAAATAAATCTATCTATCTATCTATCTGACGAAAGGATTTGTACACAGCACGACATCATTCCATACTTTTTAAAAAACTATTCCAAAGTCGACTAAACTCGTTTGAATAATTTTTTTGTATTGTGAATCCGATAATTCCAATGTTGATTAGTCTCTCAAAATTTCAGAACAGAAAGCCCGAATCTTAGGACCTGTGGATGTTTACATTCAAGCAGGAAGTTCGATATCGCTGACATGTCTCATGAGTCAAGGCCCTCATGATTTGGGAACAGTGTTGTGGTACAAGGACGATTTCCTTTTAGAAACATCAGAACCTCAAGTGAATGGTGCAGACCGTCTGGGAAGAGTGATTATAGAGGTGGGTATACCTTATCGTACTGTTTATTTCTTTGCTTCTGAATCCATACCTTACTTCAGTTTCTTTAGGGAAAAGTTGTATACGAATATGATTTCACACAGAGATAATGTTTACTGCCATACTAATTGAAACATTTCTTCGGACGTGTCTTTACACGCCCGAAGACATGCCCGAAGAAGCCATTGTAAGGCGAAACACGTGTTGCGTTTTTGTGAAACTGTTCTGTCGAAATCTCACACTGAAGTGTTTGTGAATATGAAATAATCAAGTTTGAGGTTGTGCTCTTGGCTCAGACTGGAATATCGCGATTCAGAGGGTATTGTGCTTGGTGAATTTCGTTACATGTGTGTTATCTGCGTAATCACCTACAATATATCAACTTTGCGATTTGAAAATGTCGGCAGTATACATAATGAAAAGTAGAGGGTCTATTATGCTTCCCTGAGGCACTCCGCTGTTATTCTCTGTGTAATTCGAATGTTTTTCATTCGAAACAATTTTTTGCATTCGTCCTGTGGAATGAGACTCCATCAACGTTGAATTTTCATGAAAGAAGCCGTAATATTTCAGGTTTGCAAGTAGATTTCATCCAATTCAATATATTATTTTGAATGTTCACGATTGAATTCAACGTATTGAATTTATTTTTGAATCCAGTTTGAGTTGAAGGAATAAAACTTTATTAATTCAAGAACGGAGTTGATTTTGCATTATTTTTGGAAAACATTTCAAACTATTCACTGTTCTATTCTGGGGGCTGCTAAAAAGTAGTTATCTTCGAAATAAGCTTGCCTGAAAGGTTTTCTATAGGATCTTTCAACAGACACTTCCGAACTTCGAAAATTGATAACGGCCATCTTGTTGAAGCTAAATTTGTTGAATTAGTTGTCAACTTACTTTCACTTTTTGAATTATTCAATTAGCCAGGATTAAACCTCTGCAGGAACTGTGAAAATAACTTTATTTCATTACATTACCATAATAAGTTGAAAATTAATTCAGAGAGTGATTAACTGTTTGGCAAATATTTCATTGTACGGAAAATAAGTTGATAGAATTTGATGAACTTCTGTTTCGGATGGTTTTTAGGTTATGCATCAACATAATTACAGCAGTCACTCGACATTTAATTATTGAAAATGACTGATTAGTCTGCCAAAGTTTTCAACGTGAATTTACTTGAAATAATACAGCATTGAATTCGAAATACAATCGATTCGTGATGAATTAAGGAAATTGAGTTTCATCAACAGTTTAGGAAAATAGGAATGTGAACCATTTTTGGCAGGAATTCAAAAGTAAAAAGCCAAACCTAGTTCACATTACCTGACTCAAAATAATGGGGACGCAAGCTTTGCTTCGACCGTTGACCAAATTCGTTTTCTGTATTTCACTGTAGCTTTCACTGAAAGACAACTTGCCGAAAATCAGTCCCCAAAAACAATGCATTCAAAGTTGAACACCAAACAGCTCCTTTTTTTCAGTTTGAATGAAAAATACATGTACAAAAGTATAAATATATTTGCGTTTTACTTCGGTCCGGATAAGGGGGCTTTACTGTGAAATTTCTACTGAAAATTGACCCAGTCAAACTCAAATATCTCATCTCAAAAGACCCCAAAAGTTTGTCCGTTTTTATGAGTTCACTTCAAACCGTAATATCTCAGTGAATACTAATACAATTGAATCAAAATAAGCGTCATTTGAGTCAGTACACTTTTGCCAACGTAACACAAGTCGATTATTTCCGTCAGCATGAAAATTGGGTGCTATATGGATCTCGTTATCTCGAGGTTTTTCGAGGTTGTAGAAGCAAGTGAAACAGATGAAGATCCGGTCGACTTGGCCAATTTATTTGAGTGGTCAAAAATATGCTTCAGATATGATATCAACGAGAGTACCTGAGTTTGACAGAACCAAAACCATATAGATTGTTAACATCCAGAAATAGATTTTGGTAATAAAGTTACATTCCCCTGTACCAACTAAGTCAAATCTACCTATATAAATGCAGGCTAAGGATAGGAAATATGAGTTATCTTATATTTCTGGATTACTCCCAAATACATTCAAAATAACTTTAGCTGTTTCGAAATGTAGTAATTGGAAACGTGTCAATGGCAATGACTTGTTTTCCACCGCAAACATGAGTTTTATTTCCCATAAAATGAACAATATTACAAAAAAAGATTATATAGTGTTTTTATTTTATTATTCAAACCATTTAAGCGTCATTTCTCTGCATTTATGTATGCAACGAAGTATTTTAGATCTATTTCAATCTATAATATAATTCTACTCTAGGTTTTGATTTCCGGAAATACTTTAAATGGAAGTTTTTGATAAAATAGGCTAATAATGTCACTTCCTCTCCCTAGAATGGTAACATCAAATTTGGAAAACATAATTCAGAATATTTTCCAACACTTTCACAAGAGTTCCGTTGTGCAGTGAATTGTACCTACTCGGTTAATAAATATGATGAAAGAACAACTTCACTTAAAACCAAATATATTTTCATAAGGCTGTACTTTAATTATATACAATATTAACTTCTCAGATGAAAACTTCGTTACAAGTTTCAATTTTCCTTGCAAAACCCGCAGGATAACAAGGGAGAATTACTAGATTTTAACAGCGAATTGTGAGATAAATAGAAAATTGTAACACAATCTTTCTCGTTTTGCCAATTTTGATGATTTGTTTGTTTTCAACATCTTCAGAGAATCGTAGCATCTCAAGCAAATAAGACTCCGCCATAATTTGTAGATCTTTCGTCGGAGTTGTTCTACACTAAACAGTTTTCGTAGTGTGTGGTTTATATTCTGGAATCATCGTTTCGAAGCACGAACTGTTATTGTACTCGAAAATTGAGATGGGACGATATGTTTCAAAAGTAACAATTGACGCGTGTGTCACAAAAAAAGAGATTTTTTTTGCTACCCACTACTACCATACGAACATCTAATGCAGCAATTTTGTATCCGTGTGAAAAGTGTCGTTTGGTAACAGGACAGATCCGAAAATAGTATCACAGTCGGCTGGTCGAGAGAAAATTGACTACGAATTCAAATTTTTGAAAATAAATGTCTGCTGGGAAAAGCTGTCTCACCTTAAAGATATAATGATGACGGGTCAGAATAATTCCGCTTTCCAGGGTGACCACATTCGGTAGATTTCTACTTTTTCGGTAGATTTTTCAGACAATAAATTGCTGGATGTAGCCGTTACTACGTGGAAGGAAATCATAATGAAGAGAGAAATGAAAATTTCCATGTTTTTTACCAATTTTATTCGTAACTAACGTTACTGCAGTTACATCCTATACGGACATTTTCAAACTTATACAATAAACTAACAATGATTCATTACATTCGCCATTATATGCCACCCCTGTAGGTACTAATAGAAATAGAGGTACTTGACTTGATTGAGTACCTGAATTTACAGTTCACAATGCGGATGTGCCAATTTGCAAACCGGAGAGTAAATTAAATCGATTTGATCATTTAACAGTTTGCACCCGCAATGTTTATGCTTGTGAATTTCCAAGGATTCTGAATAATTGAGTTTGCAACCATTCCTTGCAAAGTGCAGAATTTCCGTATCGTTTAGATTCGGCGCGTTCTCCCGAATGTATCGGGGCTTCGGGGGATAGGTCCTGACCAGCGCATACTTCGGTAAAACATAATAAAAACGACGGACTGTGGCTACTTATCGTTTTGAGGTTCAACTCAGTACATCTCGAACTTCACTGTTTAAAAAATCTTTCATCTGGAGAACTGCGTTTATGTGGAGTAAATTTCCTCAGAATGTTTTTTCAAATGGATTCAATCTACAGCGATTCAAACCCAATGTGAATCGTTACTTTCGCACAGAGACCGCTCTGAGAAGGCCTTAAGGACTTTCCTGTAGTCCTTGTGCTTTGTCCCTAAAAAAAGATACTTTGCTTACATAGTTCACATGTTGAATGCATCTGAAATCGTTATCAAGCCAAAAAACCAGGTTTTTTTTCTCGAACAAATGATATCAATTCGCTATCTACTACACTAGGTCTTTTATTCTTGGGTCCTTCATTCCTGGGTCAAAAAATTATAGTTTACGACAGTTCTTGATTGATTTTCAGGATAAGCATATATGACATCGAATAACAACTGTAAATTGTCGTTGATAAATTCTTCAGCGGCATTCAATTCATCGAGTCCTAACATTCTGTAAAGCTGTGTATCATCAGCATAATGATGTAGTCTCATGGAATCTATATACCTAAGGAAGTCACAAATATAAAGAGGATAAAGAAGTGAACCTGAAATGGACCCTTGTGGAACTCCATAGTTTTTGGAAAGAAATGTAGAAGAATTATTATCAAGGATTGTATTGTGGGGCCTACCAATCAAAAAACTACTCAGAGAAGAAGTAGCGTTATTAGAAAAACCAAAATATCTTAGTTTTCCCCACAAAATTAAGGGAGCCATCGTATCGAAAGCCTTGCTGAAATCCAATAAAACAAGACCTGGGAATTTTTCCTCATCATGTGCTTTGATGAAATTATTTGTTAGTTGAGAAACTTGTTAGGAATCACACGTTGAAAGGTAAGACCTCGTTAGTCCTTAGTTCGCACATGTTTCGACTTCTGAGGGTTGTTGTTCGTAGGGGTGTGACAGCCGACTAACGGAAAAATATATTATAAACATATTTTTGAGTAAGTACGATAGTTGTACTGTGTTCTTCGCGAAATCCCATTTCAACATTTGTCAAGAGGAAAACTGAAGAACAAAGATGCTCTAACCTCCCGCTCTCCCCCCTCTATTGTAGGAAATTTAATCCTTTGCAATATTGATGAAGAATACAATAGTTTCCAGAGGAAACGAGATATTTGCAGAAAATATGCAAAAAATCTATTTTGTAGATTTTGAAATAACTCCTACGATTTTAAAATACAAGTTTACTCGGGTTTACAGCTGAGTATCTTAAATTTCGAAATACTTACCTAAGTAGATGAACAAACTTGTTCCGAGCTCACTTCAAGGTCGCGCGTCGTAATTGTTTCAGAGAGAGATACTTTGTTGAGTGGAAGATTGAAACGTGTCACGTAATCGATGCAGAGAAGGATGGAATGAGTATCGAAGAGATTCAAAGCATGGACCCCCCTGGGACTCAGCCTCACCCCTCAGACCTTCATCCCTGAGCCCCTTTGCCGCGCACCAGTCTCGTGATCCTAGTGGTCATCGGCAGCTGAGGAAAACTCAATTAAAAAAGATGACTGCAGCAATAATTCTTTCAATGCAGCTAATTCTCATATAACGTTTTATGCCCCGCTACAAGTAACATTGGTTACGCCTATGTCGCTATATAGGTGAATCCCAAATACAAATACCACAGGGATTTTACCGAATTCCTACCGGAAAACCCTGTTCTTTGGTAGAAAGTTATAAGCTTTTGTGGCTTATTATTATTTGCACCTTTCCATGTGATCCTGAATCATGTCTTAGTAAAACTTTGCTGACAAACACATTCAAACAGTTTTGTGTAGTTCGGCAAACGTATGGTAGAGCTTCCGAGAATTATTATTCTATAAGTTTATGCAACTAATTCGGTACCAAAATGAAGCAAAGGAGGTCAATTGCTGAATTTTGGTAGCATTAGACAGATTTTCCTTTAATGTATTATTCACTCGGGAAACGTAGTGACTTTGGTAAATAATGAGTAATCCTCGTTGAATATATATTTGGGAATAATGATTATATTCTTTGAAAAAAATGTTTCAATGAACATACGAGTAGATAGATAGATAGATAGATAATTTTATTGATCTCCATAAATCATTTACATGACATGAGATAAGTCCAATGGTAGTCATAAAAATAAGATAAATATAATAGTTTGAATAGTCAGGTATTTACACATAGAACATTATAGTTATTTATGTATCAAGGGAATTAGGAGGGCCTTAATTACCGTTTTTTTACATATGTTATCAATTTGGTTGTTGAAGGTTAATTTCTAATCCAGCTCCATGCCAAGGAATTTTGTGCTTTCTGATGCTAAGATAACAGTGTGGCCTAAGTTGAACTTCATGTTGTTGATGTGTTTTTGAGGACTCACTGAATTGGATGAGGACCATTTTTCCCATATTATTAATGAGGTGATTTCTCTCACACCATTGAGTGAAGGTCTTCACTACTAGTTGTATAACATTCATCAAGTCAAATGAAAACCTGTCCTTTGTTAATGTGGAGAGGTAGGTCATTGATATACAATAAAAACAACAATGGACTCAATACTCCACCTTGAGGAGTCCCAAGGGAAATATTTTTTTTCCTCTGTAAGTTCTTTATTGACCTCAACTTTTAGGGTTCTGCCGGTCATTTATGATAAAATGAAAGATTGTATGGGTTCTCGAATGCCCATTGCTTCTAATTTCATCTTCAAGAAGTATGGATTAATGTTGTCAAAGGCGCGGGTGAGGTCAAAGAAAAGTCCTACTACATATTTATTTTTATCGATATTTCCATAGATATACTGAATCATATCTGTTGATGCGGTCTCAATGAAGTAGTTGGGTCAGAAACCGTGCTGACAAGGGGGAGTATATACACAACACTATTGATTAGGAAGTAACAGTGGACAAAAAAGCAAATTCCAAAAAAATACCTAACATTATTCACTCTCTAAGTTTATAGAAAAAGCTGTCACAAATATTTCACATTTTACATTTTTTTTTCATTTACGATAAATTAGATTTGCTGTATGCAAACATACAAGAAAGATGATTTTTTTTCATATATTGCGTACCAAAAATGTATTATTTCGTGTTTATATTACAGACATTAACTTCTCTATCATTTTATTTCTGTTCATTTCATGCATCGGGATCCATATCATGAAATTCTGATGATGCTCCTACCTGTATATTTTTTCTGTTTTCTCATTTTATTTTTATCGTCTATGTACGAGAATACAATTTTATGATTTTCATTCCTACACTAACTGTCATAGCCGTAGTATTTATCACTCACTCTACATTTCTGTGATCCAGATTTATTATTATTTTATAACCTGAAGATGTAAAAATACCGAAACGTACGTCGCTATTGTACCATTGAAAATGAATATATAGTATTTCTAATTTCATTTCTATATATGCTTAGGAAACCTACTGAATAAAGAAAATAGCCAGGATAACTTAGTATTTATATTCTACATGTGGAAGTTTTAGGATATCACGCTGTATACAATACAGCATCAAAACTTTGATTATAGAATTATTTACCCAAAATCAAAATATTGACGTCAAACGGTTTCAACAAATTATTGAAAATATAGAATATTGCAGAAAATCAATCGAATTTATGATTAAAAGTTGGACAACAAAATATGTCACCTCTATTTCGTTCGTTTCAGAATCAGTGGACCGATGGTTTGACATCAAGAATGTACATTAACAGGGCACACCTAGGGGATTCAGGAAATTACTCGTGTGTGCCAACCACCGCGGGATCAGCGAGCGTCAACGTCCACATTATCAGTGGTGAGTAGTCTATATACAAAGATACATATATTTACTTACCAGGCAGTGGCGGCTTCTCCTATGAGGCAGATGAGGCAGTGCCTCACCAATAATTTGCAAATTAAATAAATCACAAATTTATATTATTTTACTATTTGCATTCATTATTATATCAATTAGAATTATTATTAAATTAGTAAAATACGGTCCTGCCGCCGTCCGCCNTCCGCCCTTCCCTTCCATGGCAAGAATGCTCTACACCTCCACGTTGGTTCTTGCTGGACAGTTGCGTAATAAATATTTCTATAGGAACAAATTGTTCGATAACATAGCCCTAGCTTTATAAACAATTTTAATTTTTTTTAAATTTGATGTTATAATTTTATTTACAAATGGTATTACACAACTGACGAAGTAGAGTGACCACTAGACTAACTTTAAATTCTAATTTTGCTAAAAAAAAATTTTAACTGTGCCTCACCATTTTCAAATACCACGAGCCGCCACTGTTACCAGGGTGGCCTGATCTAGAGATGGCGGTAGTTGATTGAAAAATATCACTGTATTAGGGAGTACACAATCTATAAAGCATGTGTTTTAAGTTTGAAGACGCTGCGTTGTTTAGTATTTTTTTCTTCTGTGATACGAGGACGTTATTCGACAGTATAGAGTCTCCCCAGGCAAATACCATACCTCAGTCGTTTTTCCAAATGGATTTAATCTCCAGTGATTCAACTCCAATGGGAATCGCTACTTTCGCACAGACACCGCTCTGAGAGAGCCTTAAGGATTTTCCTGTAGTACTTGTGTTTTGTCTTTGAAAAAAATTATGAATAAAATCAATTTAGGCTTTTGCGGAATTGAAAAAAAAATAAATGAGTGAAATTTTGACAATATTTGAAAGATATCTTCAACAGTTCAAAAGAGCTGAAACTCTGCATTCATTTGAAGAAAATATTTTTCCCCACGAGAATAAATACACTGTTCCAAGTTAGCACCGTCAGGAACTGCATCATTCGCATTTATGTGACGGCGAAGTCATAATCTCTTTTCTCCAAAGGTGAAAACTTCATTAGCGTTTGTTTCACTAGTTTTTGCGCTTCTGGAATGCCCGCTAGCCATTCTGAAACATTAATAATGGNCATTTCTGAATTTTTCAGGTCTAATTGAAAAATTTTATTCATGTAATTTAATGAGGAAATAAAGTATGAGTGGTTGTGAGTTCATGATCACCGTTCTGTGTATCACTTCCATTCACAATCAGTTCCATTTTATTTGATCAGTTTTCATCAATGGGCATAAATTTGTATCAACGCAGCAACATTTTTCTGACTTTCATATGGTTATTTCCAAAATTCTGCAATTGTCCCTGGGTACAAACTCATAAAACACCTGGGGACATGGAAAATGCACCTAGGAAAATGCATTTCAAAACTCTGCAATTTTCCCTGGGAACAAACTAATAAAATACCTAGGGACATGGAGAAACATATCAAGTGACAAGTATTGAAATGATACCTGTTTTGACAATGGGTGTAAACTCATAAAACACCTGGGGACATGGTAAAATGTACCTTGGGACAAGTATCAAAATGGTACATGTTTCGACAATGGACATACATTTTTGTCAACCCAGCAACATTTTCCTGGTTTTTCAATGTTCATTTTCAAAACTCTAAAATTTTCCCTGGGTACAAACTAATAAAATACCTCGGGACATGGAGAAACGTATCAAGTAACAAGTATTGAAATAGTACATGTTTTGACAATGGGCGAATATTTGTATCAACCCCGCAACATTTTCCTGGTTTTGTATGGTTATTTCCAGAATTCTGCAATTGTCCCTGGGTACAAACTCATAAAACACCTGGGGACATGGAAAATGCACCTAGGGACAAGTATCAAAATAGTAAATGTTTTGACAATGGGCAAATACTGGTATCAACCCTGCAACACTTTCCTGATTTTTGTATGGTTGTTTCCGAAACTCTGCAATTGTCCCTGGGTACAAACTCATAAAACACCTGGGGAGCAAATACTTGTATCAACCCCGCAACATTTTCCTGATTTTTGTATGGTTGTTTCCAAAACTCTGCAATTGTCCCTGGGTACAGACTCATAAAATACCTGAAGATATGGGAAATGTACCTTGGGACAAGTATCAAAATGGTACATGTTTTGACAATGGACAAATACTTGTATCAAACCCGCAACATTTTCCTAATTTTTGTATAGTTATTTCCGAAACTCTGCAATTATCCCTGGGTATAAACTCATAAAATACATGGGGACATGGATGAATGTCCCTAGAGACAAGTATCAAAATAGGCAATCATAAACTGTTGATATCATCGAATGCATTATACCAGTAACAATAGCTCAAACTTCAATGAAATATGTATTCACTAATTCCATGTTATTCCAGTTCCTCAAATTCTGTCATACAGAAATTTCCTACAACGAATAATAGAAACATATCAAGATCCACCCATACAAATATCTAAATCCAATATTGGATTTGTTCAACGGATTACAAAAGAACCCACACACATTCTAAATTACAGCTTTCCCCTTTTATCCATTGATTTATATTCTTCGTTTACATTTATCACCGTACGATGGCTTGTTTCGATAATTTCAGGATTAAAGGATGGGTGGAAACCTCCAGGGATTCAAATTCCGATATATCTCTCCGAGCATTTTCGTGTCATTCCAGCTCCCTTCGCTGTGAATAAAAATATCAAGACATGATATTTCTCTTATTTGCCGGGTTACATTGTCATTCAAGCTGTATAACGCCATACAAGAAAAGATACGTTCAACAAAAGGAATAAGTGTACCTCACTCTTGTCAGACACAGATATACTGTTGCGATTTATTTAATATTTTTGATAAATAAGGCGATTTCAAGGAAGAAAATTCAGCGGCTATTAATTATATGTTATATTTGTTGTATCCGAATGGTAGGTACATGTTTTGACAATGGGCGTAAACTCATAAGACACCTGGGGACATGGTAAAATGTACCTAGGGACAAGCATCAAAATGGTACATGTTTCGACAATAGACATACATTCGTGTCAACCCAGCAAAATTTTTTTAAAAGTTTTTTTTAACATGGATAACTAATATTTGGTAAATGCACCTGTTTGTTTCTCCTTTACATAATATGAGATTGTATAAACTTTATAGATTTTGCAACGAAACGTTGGCAAAACTAAATTGTTTATCTACGAACATTATTTTAACCATTTCCCAGCCAATAGAAAAAACCGCATTTGTATTATTTATACTGAATCAAGGTATGGGATTATTGTAGATTTTAATTCATTGTATGAACATTTCTGAATTTTTCAGGTCTAATTGAAAAATTTTATTCATGTAATTTAATGAGGAAATAAAGTATGAGTGGTTGTGAGTTCATGATCACCGTTCTGTGTATCACTTCCATTCACAATCAGTTCTATTTTATTTGATAAGTTTTCATCAATGGGCATAAATTTGTATCAACGCAGCAACATTTTTCTGACTTTCATATGGTTATTTCCAAAATTCTGCAATTGTCCCTGGGTACAGACTCATAAAACACCTGGGGACATGGAAAATGCACCTAGGCAGATGCATTTCAAAACTCTGCAATTTTCCCTGGGAACAAACTAATAAAATACCTAGGGACATGGAGAAACATATCAAGTGGCAAGTATTGAAATGATACCTGTTTTGACAATGGGTGTAAACTCATAAAACACCAGGGGGCATGGTAAAATGTACCTTGGGACAAGTATCAAAATGGTACATGTTTCGACAATGGACATACATTTGTGTCAACCCAGCAACATTTTCCTGATTTTTCAATGTTCATTTTCAAAACTCTAAAATTTTTCCTGGGTACAAACTAATAAAACGTATCAAGTAACAAGTATTGAAATGGTACATGTTTTGACAATGGGCGAATATTTGTATCAACCCCGCAACATTTTCCTGGTTTTGTATGGTTATTTCCAGAATTCTGCAATTGTCCCTGGGTACAGACTCATAAAACACCTGGGGACATGGAAAATGCACCTAGGCAGATGCATTTCAAAACTCTGCAATTTTCCTTGGGTACAAACTAATAAAATACCTATGGACATGGAGAAACGTATTAAGTGACAAGTATTGAAGTGGTTCATGTTTTGACAATGGGCGTAAACTCATAAAACACCTGGGGACATGGTAAAATGTACCTATGGACAAGCATCAAAATGGTACATGTTTCGATATTAGACATACATTTGTGTCAACCCAGCAAAATTTTCCTGATTTTTAAATGTTTATTTCTAAAACTCTGCAATTTTCCTTGGGTACAAACTAATAAAATACCTATGGACATGGAGAAACGTATTAAGTGACAAGTATTGAAGTGGTTCATGTTTTGACAATGGGCGTAAACTCATAAAACACCTGGGGACATGGTGAAATATACCTAGGGACAAGTATCAAAATGGTACATGTTTCGACAATGGACATACATTTGTGTCAACCCAGCAACATTTTTCCTGATTTTTCAATGTTCATTTCCAAAACTCTGCAGTTTTTCCTGGGTACAAACTAATAAAATACCTAGGGACATGGAGAAACGTATCAAGTGATACGTTTGTGTGATAAGTATTGAAATGATACATGTTTTTTTGATAATGGGCGTGAACTCATTAAACAGCTGGGTACATGGTACAATGTACCTAGGGACAAGTATCAAAATGGTGCATGTATCGACAATGAACATACATTTGTATCAACCCAGCAACATTTTCCTGATTTTTAAATGTTCATTTCTAAAACTGCAATTTTCTTTGGGTACAAACTAATAAAATACCTAGGGACATGGAGAAACGTATCAAGAGATAAGTATTGAAAGGTTACATGTTTTGACAATGGGCGTAAACTCATAAAACGCCTGGGGACATGGTAAAATGTACCTATGGACAAGTATCAAAATGGTGCATGTTTCGACAATGGACATACATTTGTGTCAACCCAGCAACATTTTCCTGATTTTTTAATGTTCATTTCCAAAACTCTGCAGTTTTTCCTGGGTACAAACTAATAAAATACCTAGGGACATGGAGAAACGTATCAAGTGACAAATATTGAAATGATACATGTTTTTTTGATAATGGGCGTGAACTCATTAAACAGCTGGGGACATGGTACAATGTACCTCGAGACAAGTATCAGAATGGTGCATGTATCGACAATGAACATACATTTGTGTCAACCCAGCAACATTTTCCTGATGATTCAATGTTCATTTCGAAAACTCTGCAATTTTTCTGGGTACAAACTAATAAAATACCTAGGGACACGGAGAAATGTATCAAGTGACAAGTATTGAAATGGTACATGTTTTAACAATGGGCGTAAACTCAACCCAACAACATTTTGATATGGTTATTTCTAAAATTCTGCAATTGTCTCTGGGTACAAACTTGTAAAATATGTGGAGCTCTCACCTATACCCCCTCTTACCTCTCCCCGCTTCATCGAGTTGGTCGTGTAGACGTTTCGTCTACTACTGCGGTAGAGATCATCAAAGGCGATTAGATAGTGGAGACCGGAGACATATTCCACGATTGTAGTTTCTGTGTTGACAACAACTCGATAACTTCGACCGTTATTTCATCGCTTTTGATAATGTCTACCGCAGTGGCAGACGAAACGTAAGGCATCAAACCTGCAGAAGACGGTCGAAAAACCCAGAAACTGCCTTGACACAACTATCTCCGTCTGTGAAAGTACACAGTCTTTCTCCGTGAACTTGAAAAGTCAATATTTTTAGGTTGTTCACGACATAAGTGTCTAACATAATTTTGTTGTTTCAGGAGAACATCCCGCTGCTATGCAACACGGAAACAAAAACAAAGCGTCCCCACCTTTCTCATTCCAAGGCACGATAGTTTTTTGTAGTATTTTTTCCATACTCATAAAACATGGTAGATGAAATATTTGTAAATATGTAACTTCGAATTTCCAAAATACTTTCTCTCATAGGTTTCACTGAAAGAACCAAATTTATTTCATTTCCCATATTCTCGTTTCTCCATCTAACCCTTGGCATGAAAAGATTTGAGAAAATGAACGATGATGTAGGTCTTATAAAGTGTTGAGATACGATCATAGTCACTCTTCTGTGTTAAGACTTTCCCTTGATATTATATCATATATTTATAGAAACTTGCCTTTTGTAAAATAAAATTTGGAATATTTAAGTTTAACTTGTATTATTTTATTATACCTATAACATTTTTGACTGTGTCATTGACAAAGAAAGTGATTTATTAAAGGTATTTTGTTGTGTCTTATGTTAAAAAGGGTGTTTCATTCTCCAAAGGTCAGATAAGTATGAAAAAGGGTCCAAAATGTTTTATTTGCGAATGGGACAGCAGAGACAGAAAAAGTCAGTATTTGTTGCTCAAGCGTGAGTCACTTAGGTACTCCAGGCCGTAAAAATGTTAAAAATAAGCCTTTAGTAAACCCTGATGATATACTTTTACCACCGTTGCACTCGGTCTGATGAAAAAAATTTTAAAAGATATGCGCAAAAATGTCAGTGGATTTTTATATCTGAATGAAAAATTCCCCAAACTCAGCCATGCGAAAATTGAGGGTAGAATATTTGTAGGCTAACAAATACGACAACTTATGAAGGATAAGAGATCTGAAAGAAAACTAAATGACCAGGAAAAAATCGCCTGGAAATGTATTGTGAGTGCTGTCCAAAATTTCCTAGGAAATCATAAAGTTGAAAACACAAAGACTTGATAGAAGAACTAATATTGTCAGATAATGCTTTGGGGTGTAATGTATCCTAAAAAATACGTATGTTTGACTCTCATCTAGATTTGAGTGCTGTGAGTGACGAACAAGGGAAGAGATTCCATTAGGACATTTACTTAATAGAGAAGCGTTATCAATGGAAATCGAGCCCAGGAATACTAAAAGATTATTGTTGGCTGGTTAAAAAGTGGTTCTGAAAAATTCCCCAAACTCAGCCATGCGAAAATTGAGGGTAGAATATTTGTAGGCTAACAAATACGACAACTTATGAAGGATAAGAGATCTGAAGGAGAACTAAATGACCAGGAAAAAATCGCCTGGAAATGTATTGTGAGTGTTGTCCAAAATTTCCTAGGAAATCATAAAGCGGAAAACACAAAGACTTGATAGAAGAACTAATATTGTCAGATAATGGTTTGGGGTGTAATGTATCCTAAAAAATACGTATGTTTGACTCTCATCTAGATTTGGGTGCTGTGAGTGACGAACAAGGGAAGACATTCCATTAGGACATTTACTTAATAGAGAAGCGTTATCAATGGAAATCGAGCCCAGGAATACTAAAAGATTATTGTTGGTTGGTTAAAAAGTGGTTAAAAAGTTTTGGGATCTAGAAAGTGAACAAAACGAACAAGAGGGGTCCTGAAATTGGCCATTGAGGAACACCAAAACGCACATCTTTTATCGAGCAATGTTATTGCATTGAGAGTGAATCCCACACAACTAATTACCGATGGAAAACGTGCATGACTGATTCCATCAAAAGCTTCGGAGTAGTCCAGCAGTACCGTTTTACGCACATGCTCATGAAACGGAATCATTCATACTTCAGTTCTCAGCTTATGAGAGAACTGGTGATCGTTTCCAACTAAAATTGACAATGAGACAATGATTTAAGAACTTGGGCTTTCACAGCCAGAGTTACGATTAGAAAGAATAAAATCTGGACTAGTAGGGTGTGATCGGAAGGAAGTTGTAGTACCAAACGTTTGGTGTGCTACCACGACATACATCTTCAGTGGTGTATGCATTGGCTATGACTATGTAGGTAAGTAATTTCTATATAATTCAATGTTCATATGAAAATAGTTGCTTCTATTATGTAACTCAATGTTCATGTGGAAGAAGTGGTTTTCTTCTAGTTTGTATCTGAAAGAAACTTCTGTGCATTATCTACACATTTCAATCAGTTTCTTGCTTGAAGATAGAGGAGTAGAAAGACAAAAGATTAATATCACAGACAGATTCCAAACTGAGTCATATTACCTATAATGGAAACACCACTCATGTGAAAATAAATATATTTCGGCATTTCAAAACTTTTTTGAACTGGAAACAAATAGTTGTACTTATTGAAAAAACTATCTTTTAAAATTACATCATGTATAGCATAGTTGGCTACTAAGCTAAACCACCCGATTTGAGAAACTAAAACATTTAAGTACTAATTTTTTGTGTACAACTAAAGCCAGAAAATCTTTTGAAATGATGTGCCATGAAGAATGAATACATAATTTCAGAATCAAAAACTTATTTCCATTTAATGAATTCAACAAGATTTACAAGATTAGACGCAGCAAATTATACATACAACACACAATACATTTTGTTCTCAATTATTCGAATAGTTATACATCCTTTGGTAATTTTTCATTGTGTTTCTTAATATCCTCTTCATCGCTAAAAAATTCTGCTAGATTATCCCTAGGATTGGTGGGATGTGATGTCAGAAGCTTTTTATGAACAGGTATAGTAGCCTTCTTTTGAGTTTCCTGAGATTTGGTTATTGTAGAATAAATGGACATGGCCTGAAATAAAAACAGTAACAGTAGATGAACTTGTAATCCATCATCAGACAGTGCTGTTTTGATCTGCTAAGATCTCAACAGCACAACAACACTCAACTGTCCTAAAAAGAACAAGCCTGAAAGTATAGGTTACATCTGTCCTTACGAAAACATCTCATAGATGGCGTCTTCGTAGGAGAAGATGTCATCACCTTTAGTTGTGAATTATATTGCCATCGTACATTGAAATCACAACCTTTTTACACAGCCATCTGTATTACTAATTACAGGCTTTTTAAAATGAATTCTTTGAAGTAGAATGGAACAGATTTGTTTTACTCAAAGTGAAATTCTACAAAAATGTAAACCAAAATTTGTAAAATGGGTCACTCATCAAAAAATAAATGAATATGACAATTAAATAGTTACTTACTTGTGAAACTAGGTTGGTAACATCTCCAGTATTGGCAGGAAGGATCAGAGTATTATTTGTTCTCGCCAATTTATTGAAAGCACTGATATACTGCTCTGCGATACTAAGTGAAGCTGCATTGGGTCCCAAATTTTTCTGCAAGGCTTCAGCCACCAGTTTCAAACCCCCCGACCGAGCTTCAGCAACTGCTAATATAGCTGCAGCTTCACCAGCTGCCTTATTGATCTGCTCTTGCCTTTCAGCTTCAGAAGCCAGAATTCTTGACTTCCTCTTACCTTCGGCTACGTTTATGTCAGCTTCGCGAACACCTTCGGACTCTAAAATAGCGGCTCTCTTCTTTCTTTCAGCTTCCACTTGCATTTGCATGGCTTCTTGAACTCTAGGAGGCAGTTTGATGTCCCTTATTTCGTAACGCAAGCATGTCATTCCCCATGCCTCGCTAGCTTTGTTGATAGAGTCGACAATTGAAATATTCAAGCTTTCTCTTTCTCTGAAAACTTTATCTAGGGATATTTTTCCCAGCTCAGATCTCATTGTAGTTTGAGCCAACTGCGTTATTGCAAATTCGGGATCTTCGACGCCATAACTTGCTAGGTAGGGATCTACTATTCTCAGATACAATACTCCGTCTATATTGAGAGTTACGTTATCGGAAGTAATTGCGCTCTGTTTAGGAATGTCGACTGCGATTTCCTTGAGGCTCTGAACGTATTTGACTCTGTCGGCAATAGGTATCAGTATATTTAAGCCTGGTTCTAGTATGCGATGGAATTTTCCCATTCGTTCCACAACCCAGGCCTGAAATCCCATAATGAAAATCTATTCAATCCAGTATGGTAATTGCTATGTGACGTTGGATAAGTCAGGTTGAAAATACGATGAATATTTTTGGAGTTCAATAAAATAACATTCAAGCACAGATATCTTAAAATATTCACACTATTTTTGCGTCAATCATCTATTCAGTCATCTCTCACACAGTCAACAAAAAATACTTACCTCCTGCTGAGGAACAAACATAACGACTGTGTTCATTGGAGTGTAGGACTTTTGTCTGATGTTAGCACTTTGATTTGCCAGTCTAAGTACATTATCCTGAGAAAAAATGTTTGTGAGTAGAAGACAAAACTTGAATTTAATGATAAAAGTTGACATACTTTCAACACGACCCTGCTTAAGCTTCTCGAAATCATTTCTATCAGACAACTTTACCTGTATGCTATAAGTGAAAAATATTTAATAAATAAAAAAAATATTCAAATAATATTCAAATGTATAACCTAACATTTGACATTTACTCTTTCAATCTTCTTCTTTTCCTGTCTTTTTCATGAGAACATTTTATAAAAGATGTTTTCTTGATGACGAACCGGAATCGGTTGAATAATCAAAATTACTCAATCCAAAGAAACGACTAGAATAGTATTCACAATATAAGTCCATCCCAAAGATTATGTCGATTGAGATGCAACGAAAAGTTGAAACTGAAACAAGAATCAAGCAGCATAGAAACGACAGAGTAAAGTGTAAAAAATAATGGATAGATCAAATTAAATAATATCATTCAGCAACATTTTTCATATTCTGTATTCATAAATCATCAAAAACTCCAAGCAACAAATCATTTTCTTCAGATTCTAACTTTTTAGAGTTGGAACGGAAAAAGCAATCAATTTCGAAATTGATTCTTTACAAAGATGTGTAGAAAAGCCTTCTCGAAACAACTATTTCCATATAAACATTGAATCAAACAAAAAAAATAGAACCCATAAAAATCCCAAAAAAAATAACAACGCAATAGAATCACATCCCACTTTTCCTCCCTTAAATTTGGGGGAAAACCCCCCAGTTGGGAACCCTGATCAATGGCATGTAAAAGCATGCGTACTCAGGTACATCCAACGCTGACGTCTGACACAGCTGCTTTGTTGTATCCTCTTCTATCGCACGGACTTCAGACGCTGTAACGCTCTCTATCTCGCATGTATTGAATCGCTTCGATTTTAAAACTTTAATGGATGGCAATACTTTTCTATGAACAATTTTTTACTATTATTTTTTGTTATTGAATCTTCTTTATTTTGACACCAATTTCGATTGGTTAACAGCTCGGTGTAGATACCTATATTGATTTACGTGTTCAGACCTCCTTGCCGGGGACCTATCTATGACCGGAAATAAATAGGCAAGCCTACCTAGGCATATTCTCCATATAAGAAAGTAACATTTGAGACTAAATTTTGTTGGTTATCAATAGAGGGAAGGTGATGAAAAAAGTGCTCAAAATGAATTCAATCAAAAATAGTAGTAACAGTTTTGTGATAGGCAAGTTGTCATAGGCTTTTTCATTAACAAATGAAATTTCAAAAAAAGTCTTCAATCTCTTACCGGCTCTTATAAGAAACAGGTTTTGAAGAATACAATTTCTTTAAAAACAGAACCGACAAAACATTTGTCATTTTAAAATTTGAATAGGTCTTGCCCAGGTCTAGTGGTTTATTGCTGCATTGAATTCAAACCAATATATTATTTTTTCTTTCATATATACTTTGAACATTTTCTTGGGATATTGAGATTATTCACGAGTGCTTGAGCAATATTCGAGTTATTTTCAATATTGTGTCAGTTTAATGAATTGAAATTATGAACACACTTTCCATGTATTTTTTCCGCACAATTTTTATCATATATAATAATCATTGTGCTAATCATTTAAATCCCAGTAACTGTCAGAATTTCAGTGACGTTTTCATTTTGTTTCTATTTTTAGTAACACGCGTTAATACAACTTTCAAAGAGAATAATTTCGAGGAATTTTCTTTGTTGTGAAATCTTTAGAGTGGTCGTCTCAGGAATAAATTATATTCCAGAAATTCATATTTGAAATTTCCCGCGTTATACAGTATATTGATTCCGGTTCTGGGTTCTGCCATTTCCCGTTTCTTCGTGAATCAGCGTAGCAAGCACCAGATTCATTTGGCGAGATTGTTTCTTTTGCTCGTGTGGGTGCTTTTTTCAAAACAGTTTATACGTAAGTTCAAATTTTTGTATTAATTTGGAATGCTTTCAAAATTTTCTATATAGTTTTGTGTTCTGGTATAAATATTTGTTGTTAGCGACTTGATGAATATATATTTTTATCCATTTTATTAGCAGAACTTCCATTTGTGTAATGGTGGTGATATTTCGGTTTTTATAATTTCTTCCCCAGGGGAAGAACGAGTAGGTTTTTGTCACTACTTGATGTTGGAAAAACATGAAAATATATATCGGGGAATATTTATAATTCTGTTAACCTTTTGATATAAAGCCCATAGGTGTATGTCGATGACCTTTCTTGTCTTATGATTTGATACCCGTTATTTTTTGTGAATTCATGAATCACTTTTCCACGAAGCTGTCCAGAAATATTTTCTTTGTTCGAATTAATAGTGTCAATTTTATGTGAACCCGAGACTCTAATAATAATAACTACTGTATTGAATAAAGAAAACGTGGCTTTCTCTGTAGCCTGCTTTGAGAGAAAGCAGTATTTCCATAAGGATTTATGTATTGATTGTAATTGCAGGGAAAACATTCCATCAAAGTTTTCCCAATCATATGTGTGCATTATTCCACTAAAAACTGCCATTTCCTTTGTTTTTAGAAATTTTTGTATGAGTCAGAAAGTAGAAAAACCAGTCCTATCAGGTCAACGCATCAAGACCAGAAAAAGAGGTGAGTGTTTCTTATTTTTTTGTCTGAAAATTTTTTATTAGCAGCACTTTTTCTTGGAGAAATTATCTTTTGGTTCCTGGTACAAATTGCAACCCTATAGTTGAAGTGAATTGGTGCACATTTAGGTAGTAACAAGTAACAGTATGAATTATTAACGAAAGCATTTGTGCATTCCCAATTGACAGCTCATTATAAAATAATAGGTGTGCGCTTTAAGCTTTTCAGTTTTTTGGGAAATAAATCAGATGAAATAGAATACAATTTTTTTTCATGTTCTTAAACGACACGCTTACAATCGACTTTGTATTTGTAAAAGATATTTGAAGAATTATTACTCAACGTGTGATAGAAAATAGATTCAAGGTGGATTTATGCAGCATCAACTTTCATTTCAAATTCAACTTGAACTATGAAATTTTCATTGATATACAACAGATATTTTATGCAGAACTATTGTTTCCTAAACTGCTCTTGAACTCCCATTACATTCCTTTGTATAAAATCAAACAACAAAGTCAATGTTTGTTAGTAATTGTTTGCGTATTGGGAATTCCTTTAACTGATTTGGTCAAGTGGATGATAGATGATTTATTTCCATAGAGTATATGTAAACATGTATGATCAATACTAAAAACATTTGTATGAGAAACACGTCAGTAATGAAGAACTGTCATGACATTTCAAAGGTATGAAGTAATTGAAAATAATTTAAAATGTTTTGGTAAAATACTATGCTAATGGTAATATCTTGAGGAAAATGAGCATCTTAGTTTTTTAAAATTGTCACAAATCCCTGAATAATGTAAGGATGTTTGTAATAGTGAAGTTTTCCCCAGTTTTTACAAATGCTGCTTCTCCTCTAATCTGTCGTTTTCTTTCTTTTCATTTTTGCCTTTGCACATTGAATGTTTGTTCCAGATGAAAAAGAGAGGTATGATCCAGTAGGGTTTAGGGATGCAATAATCTCTGGACTCGATAAATGTTCTAACGATTTTGAAGCAATATCTCGATATTTGGACAACGCCGGAAACAAACTAGATTATCGTCGATATGGCGAAGCCCTCTTTGATATTCTCATTGCTGGAGGCATTCTGGGTAAGTGTGTTTTTATGTGTTCCGCGTTTTCAAAAATGATGAGATAAATAACCGGGAATATGTTGGACCTTTTTTGACAGGGAAATTATCTTTTATTCTGTGTTCAGTTCCAGGAGGTACACTGTCACAAGAAGGTGATGGACCATACAGGTCAGAGGCCTGCATATTCAATACTCCAGATGAAATCAACATGGAAATAATGAAGAACTGGGAACAAGTTTTTATCAAACTTATGCGTCGCTACAAATATTTGGAAAAAATATTTCAGGTAAGTGAAGTATTTTGTTTATCTAAATAGTTCCAAAACTGTCTTTTGTACAATATTTCTTTTGGAAAATGAAGCCTTTTGGTTTTCTACTTCATCAATAAACTTGGAATGTGGGAAACTTTCAAAGAAATGAAAAAAATCCAATGTAAGCTTTTTAAGATGTGGAGATCATATATACATCTTTCTTTGACATGCAAACTGGAAGATAGTCATTCTAAAACAAATACTTTCAAAATCTAAACACTGAATTAGGTACATGAAAATAACTTTTTTTTACTTGATACTCAAAACATTCAAAATGAGTATATTGTGAAAGACTATTAAAGTTGATTTTCTATGTATCTTGAAATCCACTAAAAAGTATGTAATGCCATGTTGACCATGTAAATATATTACATTTTATGTGCTATTTTCTAACTTGGATATTTTGCAATTGATATTTGCAACTGATATTTGTTTAGTGTGAAGTAATTGAAACTGTAGTTACTTTTCAAATAAGCAGCATGTAAACTGACAAACAATAATAGTATTATGACATCAGTTGGTTTCAAAGTCTAAGCAATTGCTGACGACATACCTTTGTATAGTTATTTACCTCTGCTTCTCCTTTCTCCCCTCTCCTTACTCTGCCTCTTCTTTCAACTTATCTCCCTCTACTTTGAACTTCTCCCCCCTCGCTTTTTATTTCCCTCTGTCTTTCTCTCTAACAGACTCATTCCTCCCCCTTCTGTCTCCAACATCTCCTTCTCTCTTCCTTCCCCTTCCATTTTCTCTCTATCTCCCTTCTTAAGACTTTTTGTCTCCCTCTGTCTATTCATATCCCTATATTTTTTGTATCCCCTATCTCTCCCCTATTCTGTACCCTATCTCCCTTCCTAGTTTTCCCCTATCCCCTTTCTTTTTCTCCCTCCCAGGTTCTCCGCCTTTCATACCTTTATCTCCCCTTCTTTCTCTCTCCCCCCTTCTTTCTCTCTCTTTCTCCCCTTATTTCTTTGTCACCCCTCTATTTATTTATCCCCCTTTCTCCCCATTCTTCCCTCCTTTCTTTCTTTCTCTCTCCTTTGTTTCTCTCCCTTTCTCTTGGACATAATTTCAGATCATTTGATTTACAGCCAGTCTCCAAGTATGCCCACTCGATTTGTGAAACTTTCTCTTCCCTTCATTTTTTCTAACTCGGATTTTTTGCAATTGATATTTGCAACTGATATTTGTTTAGTGTGAAGTAATTGAAAGTAACTTTTCAAATAAGCAGCATGTAAACTGTCAAACAATAAAAGTATTATGACATCAGTTGGTTTTAAAGTCTAAGCAATTGTTGATGACATACATTTGTATAGTTATTTACCTCTGCTTCTCCTTTCTCCCCTCTCCTTACTTCCCCTCTTCTTTCAACTTCTCTCCCTCTACTTTGAGTTTCTCTCCCCATCGCTTTTTATTTCCCTCTAACAGACTCCTTCCTCCCCCTTCTGTATCCAACATCCCCTTCTCTCTTCCTCCCCCTTCTCTCTTCCTCCCCCTTCTGTCTCCAACATCCCCTTCTCTCTTCCTCCCCCTTCCATTTTCTTTCTATCTCCCTTCTTAAGACGTTGTCTCCTTCTATCTATCCATATTCCTATATTTTTTGTATCCCCTATCTCTCCCCTATTCTCTACCTCCGCTCTGAATTTTTCTCTTTTCTATATATCACCCTTCCTAGTTTTCCCCTATCCCTTTTCTTCTTCTGCCTCCCAGGCTCTCCGCCTTTCACACCTTTCTATCCTCTTCTTTCTCTCTCTCTCCCCTTCTTTCTCTCTCTCCCCTTCTTTCTCTCTCTTTCTCCCCTTCTTTCTTTGTCGCCCCTCTATTTCTTTCTCCCCCCTTTCTTCCCATTCTTCCCCTCTTCTTTCTTTCTCTCTCCTTTGTTTCTCTCCCTTTCTGTCGGACATAATTTTAGATCGTTTGATTTGTGAAACTATCTCTTCCCTTCATTCTTTATCTCCTCCCTTCTTTCTTTCTCTCCCCCCTTCTTTTTTCTCTCTCCCCCTTTTTTCCTCTCTTCCCTTCTTTCTTTCTATCCCTCTCTCCCTATCTTTCTTTAATCTTTCTGCTTCTTTGTTTCTCCCCCCCTTTCTATCTCTCTCTTTCTCCCCCCATCTTTTTTTCTCCCACCACCTTTTTTTTTCTCCACCCCCTCTTTTTTCTCTACTCCTCTCTATCCCTTCTTCCATTCTCTCCCTCATCCTTCTTCCTTTATCTCTCTCCCTCCCCCTTTTTCTCTCTCCTTTCCTCACTTACCCTCTTTTCTCGCCCTCCCTCTGTCATTTAATGCAAACTGTAACAGTTTTGTCTTCCTTTTTCATTTGCATAAGAAAAGGATGATAATGAAAGTATGTTTTTTATCGTGTATATCATTGATGATGCATGTGTGTTTGTATTTTTTTTCTAACTTTGTGCTAACTATATAATTCAACAATTTTTCAGGATGAAATCAAGAAAATCTTGATGTTTGTCAAGTATTTTCAACCATCCGATAGGAAAAAGTTGTCTGTCATGGTGTATATTTGGATAGCTAACGGTAGCATTCCGTTCAACGCCGTCCTTGTCCTAAACAATTCTCATTTGGTCAAAGACCACCTCGCGCTGGACTTTCTCATTGACATGTTCAAGGCGTGGCGGCAGGAAAAAGGTGTGAATTCTCTTCACTCCGCCATCAAGAAATCCAATATCGAGTCTCACTTGACAAGTTTTATACCCGACACTAAACAGTCGCAATTGTATTTTCGCAACGCCTTTCAGGTAAGAACATCATCAATACAACAGATTCATTTAATATAACTGTACACATGATTAGTCGAATAAACAGTATAAAATGACTTATATAAACGAAAATACAACTATATTAACTATATATTACATGATTAAGCCCTTTGCCTGAGTTGTCTGAGATATTTCCGGGTTTATTAACTGTGGTCTACAGGTCTTTAAACTCGACGTTTCGTTGTGGCAGGCATCAGCAGCAGACGAAACATCAGGTATAAAAACCTGCAGACCACGGCAAATACATTTTGAAACATCGGACAATGGTTAGTCAGCTGCCGTGGAAGCCTACACACCATGATCTTTGCAATATTTTTTAATTTTTGTATTATAAAAGGGACACCAAAATTTTCTTATTGTAAAACTCCTCCAAAGTCTAACAATTCCTTACTTAATATTTGAAAATTGAACAATAACTTTGGATACCACAATATGATGACTATTATACTTTCTAGGTTATGAAAACATTTTACCATATTTGATAGGAACTTAGCGGTGACCACCTTTTTTTATGTTCCATTGTTGGCAACACTGAATTCGTGTCAAATTATTGAACTCCACTTTTCCTCACTAGATGGCGCCGCAAGCACTTATTGTTATTATGTATACTTTTCAAATCATTGATACACAAAAAAAATGAAGTGGACTACACACCCTAGTGGGAGGCCAGATCAAATTGTCTCCAGTGAGGAATATACCGTGGAGTTGACAATTCGATTTATATTTAATGAGTAGGACTCAATCCGCTGATATGAAAGTTTCCTGAAACCATTACAGAACAATTTCGACTATAGTTTTTGGACTCCTTGATGATTTCCGAACTCTACTTTATCCCCTTCAGGACATTTTTTATTCTTTCATAATTGTAATTATTTTTCTTGCTACATACTGTCTTTGAAGTATTAAATTTGTGATCATGTTTGACGAGAGATATTTAATGAAATCTTGTGTTTGTCACAAATTGTTCATTATGAATTTTCTTCAAGGATAATGGCTTAGATGAAATACTCAAATTGTACAACGACCAGCACCAGCAGTTAGCCAAGAAGGAGCTGCAGGTGTTGCTTGCAGACAGCCTTGGCGAGAATAAACCGCAACGTGATATAATTAACGAAATCAAGGAGATAGCCTTGAGAGAAAACATACAGGAGCACGAGACTGCTTGCATCATTTGGGCAACTATCATGGACATTCCCGAATGGTCCAAGAAAGAGGTTAGTAGAGTAATTATATGTATGTCCTTTTCAGTAATGTGACTTTGTATCGCAACTTATTCTGACAAAGTTATTGTAAGATTTTTTTGTTGTACTATTCCTTTTTTTACTTTCAAAATGATAATAAATCTTTAATTTTCAATTAAGAAACAAATGTATAAATGCATACTGAGTGAGACAAAACATGAAACAGAAAACCAAAATTTTGGTTACTTTTTAATGGAGACCCTAATGATCCAATTCGATTTTACTTCGATCCCTACGTATAAGCGCCATTTGAATCAGTGCACTCTTGCCAACACAACAAATCGATTAGTTCCAAGAGCATAAAAGTTGTGTGCTCGCGATTCGATGAAGCCGACCAATGCAGTTTTGGCCTAGTCCCGATTGGCGAAGATTCTATCCATGAGAAACTAGTCCAAAGTTCTTGAATGAAACGTTTGTAATCGGTAGGCGAAAGGTCTGGGGAGTATGATGGGTAAGGCAGAAATTTCTCACAGTAGAACTCTGCTGTGATGAGAAAGTTAGAGTGAATCACACTAGCTGCTGGTCGTCATACAGTAACCATGGTCTTTTTTTGGTGGGTTTTTGTCTTGGGAAGTGTCTGGGTGGCTCATCGGTATCCAACCACTGTCTTGAAAGTCTCCTGTTGTCGTAGAGGATCCACTTTCCATTGCACGTGACTCTGTGTACACTGACACAGGTAATCATGAGCTATTGATCCATAAACTTTATTTATATGGTGTTGATGGGCAAATATTGCAGTGGCTCAAGAGCTATCTTACGGAAAGAACATAAATTGTTAGAGTTAATCAATATTATTCTCATACCATCGCAGTTACATCGAGTGTTCCACAAGGTTCACATTTGGGACCACTGTTGTTTAACCTTTTTATCAACGATCTAATCAGCTGTTTCCATGAAAGCGAAGCTTTGCTATTTGCCGGCGATTTAAAATGTTTCAAAATAATTAAAAGTGAGGCTGATACATTGTGTCTACAAAACTATCCAACTGGTGTTCGCAAAATGGTATGTGTTTGAATGCATCCAAATACCAAATTCTTCGCTTTCATCGAACACATCACCCAATCATTTTTGAATATAGTATAAATAATCGGACCTTACATTCTGCTACTGAAACCAAAGATCTAGGTGTGATCTTAGACTCCACACTTAGCTATAAATCATACATTACCGCTGTAATTCAAAAATCTATGAAGATGCTTGGCTTTATAAAGAGAACCACTCGTGATTTCACCAACATCACTGCTATTAAATCTCTTTATTTTTCCCTGGTTAGATATCATCTTGATTATTGTCCCACAAATTGGTCCCCTCACTACGTTACAAAAAAAAGAAACTCGAGGCCATACAGCACAATTTCCTGCGATATATTGCCTTCAAGATGCGTGTATACTATGACTATACTGTATTGGAATGCATTTTGAACATACCTTCTCTTGAAGCTCGCAGAAAACATAAAGATTTAATACTTTTATTCAAAATTATCAACGGACTGAGTATCAGTCCCGAGCTTCTCTCCAAAATATCTTTACATGTCCCCAGTCGTTCAACTAGACAGGTGCAAACGTTTTACGTTTCTTTTCACAGATTTAATTATTCATATAACGGCTTCATTCGCAAAACTCTCAGATTGGCCAACTCTTTAAACAACCTTCAAAGCTTTAATATATCAGTATCCTGCTTTAAAAACCATATTCTTCACTTAACCATCTAATACTCTCTGCTTGTGTTGTTGTATTGTGTCTAGTGTTACTTGCCTGTACGAATTATATTAGTTCATTTTGTTATACATTTTAATTTTTTCCTAATAATTTATTTGCTATCTTACTTCGGAATTATATTATTGTTATAACTTTACTTTTAATCCACTGTATTGTATCAAGTACTACATAGAACTGTACTACTTATATCTGAATTGGGCTTACCTGTGTATATAAATAAATGAATAAATAAATAAATTTTGGTTACGCAAAAGCAAAAAAAAAACAGACCTGAAAACGTTACAATTTCTGTTCAAATCGTGGGACATTCACCTTATTTTTTGAATGATAGCATATAATCGTTACTTAAACATTTGAATAACTAATTAGAAATATTCCACTCATGATAAAAATGTACATTTTCCAATGGCAAATCGGTGTTTATTTTTCAATAATTAACACTTTTGCTGACTGGATCAAATTAAACAACGCTAGTACTGGCATTCAGTTGTTTATCGTCTACTGAATGTTATCGTAAAGTGTGACACTCTTTATACAAATAAATGTGGAGATCTTCCAAAGATGTGTAGATCATCCAAAGAAGTAACTTTCAGTTACAAACTAGAAGAAAGGGGCCTCTGAAAACAACGTTATCAACAATGTTGAGAATAATTATAGTCTAATTAATGTGTTCAAAATGGGCAACGATCATTTCTGACAAAAAATAGGCAGTGTTGACATTTTTCAACCTTCTGCAACATTATTGCGGTGATTTGAATAATTTCTTACCAAACTGCCCCACCAAAAATAATCCATTGATTGAAATTTTGACAATTTAGTAACGGCTCTAAATTTGATCCCTGAGGCACTCCGGAGGTGTGGTTTAACCTTTATACATTACTGTCTGAGTCGTATTGGACATGTAGGATTGAAAAATAAGAAACGTTGACTAAAACCTACTGTTAATTAATTTCTAAGAATAGGCAATGTGAATAAATGAATGTCAATTTAACTTTCAGAAGGCAAAAGGCATAAATGATGCAATCTTTTCCTTTATTGAGCATGTCTACACATCTCAACAATGGTGAGGTCGTAGCTGCAGTATTCTGCGATTTCTCCAAAGCTTTTGATTGTGTAAATCATGAACTTATTTTGCGAAAGTTGAACTACTATGGCTTTAGAGGAGTGTGTAATGACTGGTTCAAGTCTCACTTGAGTGATTGAAAACAGTTAGTAAGATCAAACGAAAAACTATTACACACTAAGAATATCTAATGGGGCGTTCCACAAGGATCAGTACTGGGCCCGATTCTTTTCCTTATATATGTAAATGACCTGGTTAGTCTCTCAATTCAAGGAATTTTTACCATCTTTGAGGATGACACCACGCTCCTTTGGCATGGTAAAATACTTCTATTATGAAAGAAATTATCTCTAGTGATTTAGAAGTTGTGAAAAAATGGTGTGACACAAACTACTTGTGTTAATTTTTAATTGCTATACATACCAGATTTTTTAACAAGCTTTGTCAATAAGATTATATTTTCTTGGACAATAAAATATATGTCTATCTATCTGTCTAAATAAATAAAACCTACTGTTTCCGATTTTGTAATCTATACTATCGGAAAATCGATAATATATGATGCAAATCTGATGTTGCTTATCCAGAACAAAGCTAATATATTGCAAAATTTGATATGGTGAGGATTGGTCTATAGTTTCCTTTTCAAGAAAAGTCGAGGTGCTCGGATAAGATAGAGCCACGGTTTTTCACAATGAATGAAAAATAGGAATCCAAAGTGGAGGTCATGTTGGTCTACAATTAATCTGGCAAGATTGGATTTGTAACAATAGTCAACTCATGAGTTTGGAATCCATTAAACGTAGCAACAATTTTAATAATGGTTGATTTAAATTTCAGGAACTTGTTACCGAACAAGCCGTAAGACACCTCCAATACTACACGAGCCTGTTTGCAGCATTCACGGAATCCGCCAGGTCCGAACTGAGCCTCCTGCTCAAAGTCCAAGACTACTGCTACTCCAACATGATTTTCATGAAGGCCTTCCAGAAGATCATCATGCTGTTTTATAAGAAAGACGTCATTTCGGAACAGTCCATTCTGAAATGGTATAAACAAGATTTCAACGTCAAGGGCAAGATGATGTTCGTCGAACAGATGAAAGATTTCATCAACTGGCTGCAGAACGCAGAGGAAGAGAGTGACTCTGAAGGTGAAAGCGATTAGGTGAGTTTTCGAGTTGTCGGTGCTTCCTGTGTTTCCTGAGAAAGAATCGTTTTGTTTTTTTTTTTTTTTAGAGGAATGTAATAAGATTGCTTCAACAATAACAAATGATTTGAAAAAGTAGAATTCCTTGGTTAATTTTTTTGTAGGCATTTCTCAAAAATATGAGCTGTTCAAGAAGATATTCATTCTTTTACATTATTGTTGTTGCCTTCAAAATAGTCCCTTTTATGTGTTAGGCACTTATGCGAGTCCTTCCTCGAGACACTTCTCGAACTGGATCTTTGGGATTGCCTTCAGCTCTTTCAGCAGTGCACTTTGAATGTCATCTATGCTTGTGGAACGACCACCCTACAAGGTTGAGGTTCTCTTTATTGTCGGACATAGAAAAAAGTAACACGGAGTTATGTCTGGCGAATATGGAGGCAGGGGCATCATTACAGAAATGTTTTAGACTAAAAACTCACGAACTAGCAGTGGAACGTGAGCAGATGCATTCTGGTGGTGCAGAAGCCATGAATGATTTTTCCACAAATCTGATACAATCAGCGTTTTTTTGCATGTGAGCTTCAAAGAAAGTACCTGGAGATATGATCACCCAATCCGTATTTTTTCTGGATTGAGGGAAAGGAAGGGAAAAAGACACTGCCCCAACCAAGCATTGCCCTGTGTATACCAACCAACTCGCGTGTAATTCGTGAAAAAAGGAGTTGAGGTTGTCACGTCATCAACTCCCTTCTTGAGCTTCTCCTGAAGAACCTTTACGCGGTCGTTCAAAGTCAAACCCTCAACACTTATCTCAACGTCACCTTGACTGTGTTGTATGACATATGTCAAGGTCATTCGAAGCCAAACTCAATACGCTTCCTCAAAGTCACCTTGGCTAAGTCGTGGGATGGAGATCAAAGTCGTTCAATGTCAAACTCAAAACACTTCTCATAGAAATTTTGACTATGTTGTGTGACGAAGGTGAAGGTTGTTTCGAAGTTAAGAGTGGTGGGGGAGGTCTTGAGATCGGCTTAAACCCACTACGGCGGACTGCTTCACGCAAGGTGAGTTGATTTTGTAGGTAAAGGTGCGTCCACACTATGCCGCCGTTGGCATAGTGTAGAATCGATGTAGACATGACCGTTGGCATGTGCCAATGAAAATCGCCGAAGTGTCTGTCTCCTTCAAAGTAAGCCAAACGTCGAGTAGGGTAATTTCAACTACTGGATTCTTGCTTTGCTTGCTATATACCGCTAACTGCTAGGCATTCATTGTCGGAAATATCTCTTTTGAATGACATATCTCCCATGACATTTTGTGCAGTCGAATTCAGAAGATATTGAAAATCACTGCTTCTTATGAGTGAAGAGTTTACGAAACCACATTCAGATCTGTACTCAAAATTCAATTCTTCCCTAAAATCCAATAGTGAATCTTCATATTTATTTATTTATTTACAAACTCTACAGACCATGGCTCAGTCACAAAGTAGGAAAGGTGCATATCACAAATAGATTTGTACATGCAACAAAACGACAAAAAGTTGTTAGTCATGAGTTGATATTGTGCTCTACTTTGAAGGTTCGTTGATACCCAAAGTCTTCGTTTGTGCGTCTTTTCTTTAATACTCAAGTATGATCACTGCAGCTAAAGCAATTAGTAAATGTTCATCAGTGAACATTGTGCGACTAAACTAAATGAAAGCCAACACATATGCAGACGTTTTTTCACTAGGCTTTGCCAATGGAAAATTGCCGCATTATGTAGATGCGTCTTAATACTACCTATTGGCAGCTTGGTCTCGTTGGCAAGAATTCATGATGCACTGCGGCATTAAAATCGAAGCATAACTTTTTCGTTTGACCACACTTGACAAGCCTTTTTTAGTTTTGGCAAGCCAGAATGGTTTTGCTCACTGTTTTCTTCAATTACTGTCACGTTGTGCATCAGGAGTTCTTACCACATGGCAAGGAGTATTATCTCGAAGTATTATCTTGCCACATAGTCATACTGTTAATAAGGAGTATTAATTTGGAGTTATTCGGCGCTTGTGAAAAGCAATACGAAGAAAACGTCCAGTATTGTGGAAGAACAATTCGTGGCTTTTGCATCAAAATAAATCGCCTTCTCAATTGTCATTTCTTGTTTGTGATTTTTGTCCAAAAACAACACCGTAAGCATGCCTCAGCCACCGTTTTCACCAGATTTGGCCCCCTGCGACTTTTTTTCGTTCTTAAGATTGAGGACACCCTTGAATGGACGGCGTTTTACACTGTAAAGTGTATTACATCTGAGGGGGGCTCTTTTGAGGGGGCCAAAAAAATTGAGTAAATAAATGTTTGAGAAGAAAGACAATTCCCCTTATTTTTTGAACTCACCTCGTACATCGACTAGTAGTGTAGGAATACATTTTTTGTCTTAATGTATGCTCCATCAGGAAAGGTGCAGCTTGAGAGAATGGGGAATGTTCCTCCTGACGAAAATCAATTAGTTCTCATAAAAGAGCTTTAAAACAACGCATTTTAAACTTATCATTTCCACCTTTTTCTTCAAAAAATTATTTGAATGTTTAAAAAAGAGGAATGAAATAATGCATTCAACATTTAAAGGGATTCATTCTCAAATCTCTTCCCATATTTTACAGTGTATTTTCATTTCAGACGATGTGGACCCTCAATTCGGGACATAAAATATCAGTGCCACCTATCATTGTATAAAAACCCAAACAAAAATGAGGTATAACATTTTTTCCGATGTATTTAAATTATTATATTGTATAAACATTCTGGTGCCTTACTATGTTCGGTGTGCGGCAGGCAATAGTTGTCCGGGGACATGTAATACTGACCTCTTCAAATTTTTACTTGAAACGTAAGTGCATAGGAAAAAATGATACTCGTGTATGAAGTGTCGCCAATAAAAGTCACAACTCGATGTTATATATTAATGATTTATTGTCAATTTTTTTAATATACGAGAAAATTTTAAATAAAGTGAGCCTCATTTCCCATCTTTTGTTTTTATGTTTGTGTTTTGGAGTTGAATTTTTTTCAGTGTGCAATGGAAGCAGGTTGCACCCATCAAATTTTAAGTGCAGAGCCAATTAATGCAGGGTTGAGCGTTGGTGAGTTCTTTATTCAACCACATTCCTTTATTCATGGGCTCGAAACCTCATTTAGTAAATACGTTGAAAGAATACAAAATTAATGAAAGGCATTAAGTAACAATACAAATGAAAAAAAGATGCATACAAAACAGTATAAAAAAGAGTAAGTTTGAATATACAATACGATACAATAATTGAAAATATATACATATTTATCTGGAGACTATATCGAGAAGATATGTATACATACTACAAAATGAATATTTTTTAATGAAAACTCTATATATTCATAACTACCTACACCAGAACCTATGTTGTAGGAAGACTATATCTCACTCAGACTATCATAACAAAGCGAAGCCCTGCTTTGTTATGATAGTCTTATGAACTGTTTTCAATGCCTTGCTGGGGCCTTAAAAGAATGATATATGGCATGTTGCTGAGCTGAATGAATTACGAAAGTGGTCTCTACAGTTGAGATTAGCCAAGAATCGAATGACCATTCGCACCCAAAAGGTACATGTTGCGCCATCTTCTAGGTATAAATTGAAGTACTACCATTTTTTTTAGTGCTTTCGCGTTGCCATCTTTCGGAGAGTAGATAAAGTTACCTACCTTTGTTTATAGTTCGGTTAGGGTGTTTTTGATCTGTCAACCGAAAGTAAGATATCTCTTCAAATAACGCCTGTATCTTTGTATGTTGGTATATTATACAATATACAATGCCTGTATGTATGTTATATACGAATTAACGTCTCAAACTTATTAAATTACAAGCGATAACAGCTTCCTGCGAAAAGTGCTAATTGTGCAGTATCAGCAAGATGAACACTTGTGCTCCAGACAAAGCAATTGCTAACACTGTTCAAATATTGTTTTCCATATCAAACATATAAATAGACCCTGGGAAGTCAGAAAGACGTTCATTATCAATTACTTATTCTTGAGGTACAGTTCATTACAATTCAGTTTTAATTTTTAATGTTCCAAGTTTTCCATATCATATTCAAATAAAGTGTTTAAAGAAATGAACCCATTTTTAAAAAGTGAATTGTGGAAAACAAGATATAACATGTATCTGGAATGTTGTGTTCACACGATCCAAAGAATGACTTCTCAGTTGAAATAAAAACTGTCGAATGGGAACATCTGGCATAAAATGGATCTGAGGAAAAAACTTTTTCCACGGCATATGTAAAACACTCTTCTCGATGCGCGTTTCGATAATTATCAGGAAATGACTAGAAATGATTATAAGAGCCACCTGTAGAGCCGGGTACCAAAAGAATGTAATCTGAAGTGCCGGACGAAATATAAGGCATATTACAAATGTAACTTTCTTTTTTATTACACGCTTTTTATTAGCTTCACCTGTATGTATGTATGTTTGTTTGTACGTATGTTTGTTTGTAACTTTCAAGCTCGGGATCTGTTTTGACAGAATTATCGGCATTATTGCTTGATCTATTCGTGGGCAGATGGCACTGTACATAACCTCCTTGATATATTCGCGGGCAGATGGCGTTGTACGTAACTCTCGACTCGGCCCTGGTTAGCGACTAATCTCATTTCGAATAAATAATTAGGGAGTGAATGTCGATACTTGTTGGCGTGGAAATAAATGGAAGAGACCAAAAAGTGGTTCACGTGAAAATATTTCGCGAGTGACAATAAACAGGATATTTTTCATTGCAAAAAAAGATGAAAGTAACTCATTGTGATTAACTAGAAGTTTGTTCTTCCTATAGTTCATCACAATTTTAATATTGTTCAGAGAGTCCAAGGCAAAACCCACCATTGAAGTAAAAATAATCGGTTAGTGATTTATCTCATTTCGAATAAATAATTAGGGAGTGAATGTCGATACTTGTTGGCGTGGAAATAAATGGAAGAGACCAAAAAGTGGTTCACGTGAAAATATTTCGCGAGTGACAATAAACAGGATATTTTTCATTGCAAGAAAAAAGATGAAAGTAACTCATTGTTATTAACTAGAAGTTTGTTCTTCCTATAGTTCATCACAATTTTAATATTGTTCAGAGAGTCCAAGGCAAAACCCACCATTGAAGTAAAAATAATCGGTTAGTGATTTATCTCATTTCGAATAAATAATTAGGGAGTGAATGTCGATACTTGTTGACGTGGAAATAAATGGGAGTGACCACAGTCGTTCACGTGAAAATACTTTTTGAGAGTTACAATTAACTAGAAGTTTGTTCTTTCTACAAGTGCATACAGTTCATAAAAAATTTGATATTGTTCAGAGAGTCGAAGACAAAAAACTTCTGTTGAATTAAAAATAGTCAGTTAGTGACTAACCTCAGAGTCGTTAACGTGAAAATAATTTCGAGAGTGACAATAAATAGTATTTTCTTTGCGAAAAGTGATGAACGTAACTTATTGTGATGAACTATAAGTTTGTTCTTTCTACAAGTGCATGAAGTTCATAACAATTTTAATATTTTTCAATTCATGGCTTGCGTCCTACGTAGAATGTTTGTTAATTGACAAAACTCCCCGAAAGGGGCCCCAATAAGGACTCTCCCCCATTTCACAGCTGATCGAACGTAAGAAGTCCTCTGAAACAAATTGACACACAATCGAATCATTGTGTTGCATTCGCAGTGATTCTGAGTTGTTCTGTGTTTCTGAATGGGTATAATGGGTAATATAATCGGCTCATTGCGCCCTGAGTGTCTGAAAGATCGAGTAAAGAAGTGATTGTGGGGAAATGGCTCGGAATGGTGTGAGGAAGGAAGCTGTTCGATCTGGAGCGAGTGACGGTTGGATGGGAGAGATGTGTGGCCTTTGGTGGGCGCCACTCTCGGGCTTTGCAGGCTGCTTAATAAAGGCCATTAGCGTTGATTGTTACTTCGCTCCGATTTATACCCGGCTCGTTAAAATGCGTCCGCGATTTTCGATGAATGGGACTTGTCAATTATACTGAGTGGGAACGAAACATTTAACATTCTCACAAGTTCTTGATGTATCCAATCAAAGGAAATATCAAGACTATTTTTATATTTTTCTGACAGGTAAGCTTGTTAATCGTAAAGTCATTCATAATTGATGATTCGAATTTGGAACTTCTTGTGTAAATTGAATCTACGATAAAAAGCTAAACGTTTCCGAACCGGATATAATAATGTCAAGATAGCTGATAGACAATTTCGCTCTCTGTTTCGATAAGTTTGTTGGGGGTTGAAAGGGATACCAATATGTCTTGGCACAATCATGTTGCTGGAATTGCAAAGGCTGCTTGTCGAAAGCTTGACACACACGGTATTCGAGGCCAACTAAACCTATGGATTGAAAATTACATGACAGATAGAACTTTCTCGGTCAAAGTGGGTCACTCTTTTTCTCCGCAAAGACAAGTCACAAATGGAGTTCCCCAGGGACCTGTTCTTGGCCCGCTCCTCTTCGTTGTTTATGCAAGTGATCTTGCTCTTCATATAAAGTCCAGCAAGTCGTTTTATGCCGATGATACTAAACTGTATGGAAATGCCTTAGTCGAACATTATTCCCTTCAAGAAGACCTCAACTCGATTAGTCAGTGGTGAGAGGATTGGCTTCTTCTTCTGAACGTTGACAAATGCGTCGTACTTCATCGAGGAAAGAACAATCCACTCCATACGTACACAATAAGCGGTCAATCGTTACGTACCGTATCCTCACATGGAGACTTGGGAGTGACTATCAATACTGACTTAACTTGGTCCGAACATATAACCACATGCAAACGCGCAAACACACTGATTTACCTCATCCGCAAAACGTTCCTCCATCTATCGTATTCAAGTTCCCTAAAACTCTACAAAACCTACCTTCGTCCAATCATGGAGTATGCAGGTCCAGTGTGGTGTCCTGTTCTGGTGCGCGATAGGGACTTGTTGGAAAATGTACAGCGTCGAGCCACAAGTATGGCTTTTGGTGAAGTGCGTCCAACCTATCCCGAAAGACTGAAGATGGCACAACTGCTAGCTTTTGACCAACGTCGACTCCGTGGGGACCTCATCATATCTTTCCGTATAGCATTGTTATCAACAATGATTATAGCCGACAGGTGTCAGAGCAGGACTCTTCACTGAAGTATTCGATTTTCAATTATTGGAACACACTGGCAGACCGGTTTCGGGCTGTTTGGCCACTCGTCAGTGCAAGGTAGTGTCTATCATCAACATAATGTCGATGATTTCCCATAATTGAAAATCGACATCCTTCAGATTATCATTCTTTGAACTATGCTGAAGCGGACAACAAACAACATGTTTGTCATCGCTCCATCTGTCTGTGAACGATGTAACGTTATGTGTAGTTTTGCTATTCAGTTTGTAATGCAAACACTCATTTGCAGTACAACATCGTAACAGACTCAGACAGCTAACCAGAAAAATGTATGAATTGAGAGCAGCTCCGAAAAAAAACACCTGCTCAGATAAGTAGATATGCATGTTTCGTAAAAAACACTAAAAATAAGAAACAGGTGCAATTAGCTTGTCTTCTTCCAACCTCAGTTGCTGCTCATCAACATCTTTTCTCTTTTGCACTTCCAGCGACACGATTGTGTCAAGACATATAATTAATTCCCAACAAACTTATCGAAGCAGAAAACGAAATTGTCTGCCCGGTTCGGAGACATTTATCTTTTTAGAGAAAACCGATGCCTGGGTGTACGTAGCATTGAATTGAACTTGATTACTTCCACCCCAATTCAAAATCACTTCAAGATTCCTATTAATGGCCTCAACAATAATATTTAAAGCTTTGAATAATATGTTTGACGAAAAGAAACAGAACAAAATGTGTATTTAGGAAATATAACGTAATATACCAACAAACTCGGTATGTATTGATTAAAGGTGGAGCGTGAAAGGTATGAAAGTTTTGAAAAAAAAATTCAT